TAATTAATAGCAATATTTTTGTTCAACATTTTAGTCGAGGCTAATAAAATACCATGTTAAGAAGTGGGGTGATCTATGTCTTCCTTTTCAGCTTTTAGTATCATAACAACATAATTCAGCAGCAAATGCCTATAAAAAACCAGCTCCGAGGTCTCAAAACACTGGCATCTAACATCTAACAAGTGGCCAATACCACACCACACTTGCTATAATACATAACCAGACGTGCAGATTAGACCACAACGCACGGACGAACACAACTTTCCAAGCATATTAACGGTCACAGAGCTAGTTGATTTTCCAAAACGGAGCAAATAGGCGGAGGCTTAAAAGTTACTATCCAAGAAAGGAAGTATTGTTAGTAACTTTACAAATTATATTGGCAAAAATAACTTAAGAAGTAAGTGTTGACTTTTAAGCACAACCAAATATGATCAAATCTTGAACATGAGCTAATTTATCTTGGGCTTGTCAAAAGCATTGATGTACTGAATGAAGTTGCACAAGCACAAAGCTTTGGTATCACGTATTCAAGGAGCTTCAGATAAAATTTTAAAATGACAAAGAATGATACAAGGATGGATATGAACAAGATGAACAAAATAGACCAAATCTGACTTCCCAACTCCAACACTGCTCCTATATAGCTGTGTCTCACTCGGTAGATGTTGAAGGAGCCTAAGATTTGCTTGAAAGATAATAACAAGGATTATAGTTTAGACCAATGAAAAGAAAATTCTGAGAGGTATATCAATCAACAAACTACAGAAGAAAAACATGTCAAGGATTGCAAAATTGTGCATTGGCATGCAGATATTGATAAAACGTCCGGCTAAAAATTCTAGGGTCGATTGCTACAACCTCCACTGGGAACAATGACAAAAGACCATGGCATATTTCTCGCCAGCTAACACTCCTTCCCTTCTATCTAATTCATCGACTCAATCTCACTCAACAAACAGATTTACGACCCTGTTTTACTTTACATTTCCTTTTTTGCTGAACCATAGAATTTATAACATCAGTAACTGTAATTTGATTTCTTGATCAACAGCCAATTGCCCATCAGATGAAGCTAGAGAAAATGATGCTTGGCTTATGGTGCCTAGGCACAGTGTAGTGCTAGTGCAACTCTTGTGAGCTGCATTGGTTGAAGATCAAGAGGCAAAACTTGGAGAAATAACAACATAAGCCTTATACTAAGTAATAGGCAGTTGCCTACATGATTCAACCAATCATCTACTAGAAGACCCAATGCACAATCAGATCTTCCACAGACCACAAAAGGCTATGTCAATTTGGTCTCTCCTTCCCTCATCCAACCTATTCTACTGGGTACTCTCACTCATTGATGCATTGACCATGGCAGTGAAAATCATTACTGGATTCCTAATGATGGGGGTCAATATTGTTGGCTATGGAGAGACTAAGGTCAACTAGGTCATGAAGAGGGTGTAGTGGGGGGCAGAATTGAACTAAACACTTGGGTTTTTTGTTGTGGGGGGTGGCGAGGTGGGGGATGGTCATCCATTTGTTACTACCCTTGTGGATGCTCCATCCATCAATCTTACTATCTTCCTCAAGTATGAGGAAGCCAGTGCATTTTTGGTCCCCCAAAAATCAGCCAAGTTGCTAAATACTTTCAGGAATCTACATATAACCTTCAGCATAACATCATAGTTTTCTTAAAAATACAATCACCTAAACAAATGAAGGAATAAACTTAACGCATGTGCATAATCATAACAAGCTTATAGATAATGAATCTTTTTTTGCGTTTCTGAACGAGACTATGGAGCCAACCCAATGAGCCCATAATTACCAAAAAACTACTTACTAATAATAGAAATCACTAGGTGTTCAGTCAGCAATTATCAATTGTGCCAAATATTCTTGTCATCGAGCATGGCAGTTGATTGAAATGGGAAAAGCAAGTCGCCCAATTAATTAAAATGCAGCAGAATTCTTCTATTAATAAACAAAACATATAAATTCACAACAAGTGCAAGAACAGTAGAAATATTATGAAACACTAGGGCATACAGTCAGCAGAAACATGCAGTTAAATTTAAACATAAATGCGTGCCTTAACGCAATATTAGGTAGAAATACGACTAATAGCAGTAATTAGTAAAAGCAAATCACCATATACCCATCATCTCCAAATCCCAGAATATATAAAAAATCTATCCACGGGCCTTGAGCTCTTCGAGACGCCTAGAAAGGTTATCCTCCTCCGCCTTCTCCCCGTTCTTCACCGAGACAGCATGAGCGGCCGGCTGGGGGAGGCCAACCGACACCTCAAGCCCATAATCATCCGCCACCTGCTGCATAAGACTATTAACCTCCCCTTCAGGAGTCGACAGCGAGGTGCTTCCGGCCATCGAACTCTCCATAAATTCCGCCTGCACCTCCATATTAACAAACTGCTTTTCAAACTGATCCATAGTTTCCGACATCTTCTGCAAATTCCCAGTTGCGAGGGTCGACTCGAGTGATTTGACGATATTTCCCATGGACTTGGTGATTGTGGTCATCTTAGCCTGTGTGTCGAGCCGCGACACCACGGCATCAAGACGGGAGGACAGCCGGAGATAATTCATCTGTTCGCTGCGCTTCCGGATGGCGTTCTCGGCGTAGATTCTGGCGCCGTCCATATTGCCCTTCTCAATGGCTTTTTTGACCTTCAATTTTTCGGATTTTTCGTCCTTTTCGCATTTCCGGGCCTGGCGCTGGAGGCTTTTGATGGTGAATTTCAGTTCCATGATCTGATTCATCAATTTCTCAGTGTTTCCCATTGTTGAATTGATTTTGAGCGGGGGACAGACAATTTGGGAATGGGATTAGGGTTCTTATGAAATTTCCTTGGTATTGTATGATTGGTTTTTTTAGTCGGGTTTTATATTTTGAGAGTTGGATCCAAACGGTCAAAGATATTTTCTTGTCTTATTAAAATCTTAAAAAGGATTGAACTCCCAACGGCTCTATCCGTTGTGATTTAAATAAGGGTTATTGGCTCAAAACGTCCCTACCTTTGAAAGGTTGTGTGGAAAACATCCATACGT